CAGGCTCTCACTGAAGTACGCCATCAACAAATCATCTTTCTCACCAACACTTCTCATTTTACTGCAATAATCCCTCAAATGGGCTACTGGATCCCCACACCCATCATATAAGTTAAACTTTGGCACTTTAAACCTCGCAGGCAGACGAACGTCGTGGGACATAGACAATTCTTTGTAAGACATGCTACCCTGGTCTCTCATTCCTTGTTTGTTCTTTAAGGACTGTTCTATGCCTTTCGGCCTCCTGGGTATCCCATCTCGCCCTTTTCTTCCTGTGAACTTTCCATTTTCAACATGAGGTTCATCTCGCAGGCCCTGCCTATATGAGTTAGGAACCTTGTGGGCAACCTTTGAGAGGTAATATTGGGCATCGTGAGCTTTGAGTGAGTGTTCATTGATGGGGATAGTGGATAAGACAAGAGGGCAATTTTTGGGAAAGGTAATTGGAAGATGAGTGACGGAGCTACTAGGGTGGTTGGGAAAGTCATGATAAGCGGGTAGATCTGGAGAGTATGGGGGATCATCTGGCACTGTGACCAGTGTTCAGGTAAGGGTAGCATTTAGGAAGCTAGGTGGTGGCGGGGTTGGTGCCTTCCCAGTCATCCAGGTCTGATACATGTCCGCCATGTGTTGTCTTAACATCTTTACCTCTTTAACCAACCCATTGTCCTGTTCAACCGACTGCTTCCGGGCACCATTTTCAACCAACCCAGTTCTGTTGTTGTCTGCCATTGCCTTTTGACTTTGTGTTGTAAAGAAGAGTTACCACTTTAAAAACCACAAACCAACCACCCTTCTGCTATGAATATGACAAAATGAAGTCATCACGTTAGCGTTAGGGCATTTAACATAAGATAATCTCACTTTATGTGCAATGTACCTAGCCATAGTTATCGGTTCTAAAATGACTTCGAGGGTACAAAGGTTAGTTGACATCATCCCAATTTGTTAATTTCAACCTCTCTTTTCTTTGTTTTTCTAGCACTTCTTAGCTCGCTCATTTTCTTTCCCCTTTTTCTTTCTGAGTGTCGCTCTTTTCTTCCTTCTCAGTTTTCATATCCCATAATTTCACCATATTTTTCTCTTTTTTTTTTCTTTTTTTATAAAAAAATAAAAAAAATGATTCGATCGAACCCTATGTAGGTTGCCTACGTATCATGACGCCGCATGAATCAGATCTTTGCGTAGTTCGGGAAGATCAGGAATAAAGAAAACAAACTGACGTTCTCTGTTTCTACCTTAATGACTCTGACGAAAAAAGGGAAATAAAAGAAACAAATCTCCTTTTTTGTTTTTAAATTTTCTAGACTTAATATTCTATAACCTATTCTAAACTCAAGCCTATCGAGCATATTTATATATATATTTTTTTTGAAAGAAACACTCCATGGGAAATTATTAAGGAAAACCCTTAGAAGAGAAAACGAATATTTTTTGATTCGTTTTTTTAAGGAGGAAATCTAAACAATAAACCACAGAAACATATTTTGAATTTTTATTTGATATCCTGACGCGATATTTCGAAATGAGCAATGAAAAAGATAAAACAAAATGCTTTTGGATTTCAATTTTGATTACCTAAAAAAATTCTAATGATAAACAAAAGATAAAGTATTTTTTCTATGTACAATATCCTAAAGTTCTAATGAAAATAAAAGAAATTTTTTTTCTCATTTTTCACTAATTTCCCAAAGAGACGCCTCAAAAGAAAATCTTTTTGGATTTTGAAATTAACACCCTAAAGAAAGCTTTTAAAGAAGTACTAAAAGATTTTTTTTTTAATTTTGGTCCTAATATAGTAAAGGAAACTTAAAAACAATTCATTTTAAGTCTTAGATATTAATTGCCTAAAGGAAAAACAATCTCAAAATTTTCTCATTTCTAGAATTAGCATTCTAAAGAAAATTTATAACGAAATATAAAATGCAACATCTCTTTTTTTTGGATTTTGAGTTACAGCACATTTTTTCAAATATAAAACAGAAAATAACAATAATAAAAAGACTTGACATTACTGTACAAAAGTAGAAAGTAAAAGACGACATAAAATGAGGAACAGACTCAAAACATAAAAATAAAACAAATCTCCTTAAGCAACTCCTGACTGAGCGATCCTGACCGGATTGTCACAGGGTGTCTGCCATGCTCAAACTTCGGTAAATAAATCCACACCTGTATGAGAAAACTTTAACCAGCACTATGTGAGATAATAACGCTCCCTATTAAACACATGCAAGACATAATTGAGACTATTTTTTGCAAAATTTGGCTAGGACCCCGCAAAGCCAAGAACTTAAGATTTACTAGGAAGACCGGACCCTATGTGGGTTGCCTACGTATCCCGCCCCGAGAGACGAGAATCAGGTTCGCGTAGTTCGGGCAAATTGAATACGGGCGAGAATAATAAAAAAAACCATAAAAATCACATTTTTCTTGCTTTTTCTTGAAAAATGACGAAACATGCAAAATCTTTTAGGATTTTCTTTTTCTCTTTTTTTTTTATTTTGATTTTTGAAAAATGATGAAAAAGTGCAAAATCTTTTTTTTGAATTTTTCATGTTTTTTTTGTCTTTTTTCTTAAAAATGTACCAAAAAAACATAACTAGACCCTACTTGCATTATTTTCACACTTCCCCTTCTCTTTTTCTTTTTTTTTTATTTCTTTCTTCTTTCATTGTTTCTTTTTCCCTTTTTCTTTTCTTTTCACTTCTTCATTTACCCTCAATTATCATTGGTCCGCCAGATGTCCCTTTGACCCTTGAATAAATACAACATGTAGCACATAAGATGCATCAAGATGGTCTTTATTTTGGGTACACCTGTCCTAGACGGACCCAATTCCTGTGTTGAGTCTGCAAAGTCAAATGTGATGCAAGCAAACGTTCCTACTAGGGATTCGGCATGAGGCTGTGTTTTTCTAGGTTTGAATCCTGGGGTTTTGTTCTAGACTTGGGGTACCCGAGCGGACAACTGGGGTCGAGGAGGGGGCGACGTACCGGGAGCACTGAAGTCTACTCGGCCTTGTCGCTTGCCCAGCCTCGTTCTATTTGGTATAATTTCTACAGAAAAAGCGGGCCACGCGAACATGTGCACCATTTTCAGAAGACTCAGAGGGGGTGGCGTAAGAAGACAGTTATATACAATTCAAATAATATTAAAGCAGTAAATAGATAGTATTTAGCACAAAAAGGTTCACAGAATACAGTAATATCAACAATAAATAAAGCCAAGCAAAATTATATTAATAAGCTCGAATTCTGAATCCTGAACCAGAGATTCTGGGTTCGGTCCCCAGTAGAGTCGCCAGAGCTGTCACACCTCCTTTTTCACTACGCCCCGTAAAGGGTATAAATATAAGGGAATTTTTCCAATTAAAGGACAATCGAAACGGGATTAATTATTTACAATTTAGAGTCGCCACTTGGGATAATTTATAGTGTCCCAAGTCACCAGTTTAAAATCCCGAATCGAGGAAAATTGACTCTATTTACGGCCTGCGAACACAGAAATCTGGGTAAGGAATTCTGTTAACCCGGGAGAAGGTGTTAGGCATTCCCGAGTTCCGTGGTTCTAGCACGGTCGCTTTGATTATACTTGGCTTATTAAAATCGTTTAATTACTCGTTTTAGAACCTATGTGCTTTTACCCCTTTACCGCTTTTATTTATTTCAGGAAAACTCAAGATTATTTAAAACACATCGTAAGCCACGCTACATGAAATGCACCCGCGGTTCACAATACATTTTATTTAACCTTGTTGGAAATTAGAACTGGGCCACATGAAATGTACCCCTGGATTTTAGAAATCAAGTGTCACGACCACGTCACGGGAACTGTACCCGTAGTTATGACGGTTTATTTACGTTCCTAGAGCAAGCTAGGAATGTTCATTTTTAGGTCCAAAGTTATGGAAAGGCGAACTATATTAACCTTTTTATATGAAAAAGGGACGGTCGTGTTTTCATCAACAATTGACAGCACTTACTTCATCAACACTTAATCCAAAGTCAAACATTTTCATCAAAAATGAAGTGCTCACATTTACACTTGCAATGTTTTCTTTACCATTTGTAAAATCTAGCGAGAAGCACAGCAGACTACGATATGTTTATTAAGGAAATAAAACAACCCCAAGTAACTTAAACAAATTCATAGTAATTCTCGGACTATTTGTTTTCCAACTAAAGAATGAAACAAACAGAATTTTATAACAAATATGAATCCTAACAAATGACTAAATAAGAAAAAAAGAGACAAACCATATTAGGAATTATTTGATTCTTATAAGACTACAGATCTGCCGAAGCTAACAATAGGCCAACGGAATCTCCGGTTGAACAACCGATCAAATTCAACATGATTATATAGCCAACTTTGTATACTGAAAACAAAGATCGAATTAATTTAAATCAGCATATTTTCAAACAACAGACAATCGGACAATTCATATTCTCTTCAAGTTTCAAGAGATTTTGCCGAAAAATTCAACACACACAATCGGACAAAAAATGCAACAACAACAGCAAGTAATTTCCAGATTCAATCGAATTTCGAACATAGAAACAGAGATGTAAAGGAGAAGGGATTGACCTGAGCAATATTTCTTTAATTGATTCGATTTACAAGCAATTACAAGTCAGATTCGAATTGCAACAGCAACAGAGAACTCCACTGTGAACCTCGAACGGCGACTCGAAATCGGCAAATTCAAACTGACTCAACTAAACTCCATTTCTTCGAAACACAAATTTCAGAGAATACCAGAATGCCTTTTTGTGTATTTTTTGAACTTGAAATTAAATTGGACCAGAGGAACCGATTTCCTTTAATCTATAAATAAACAAAGATGAAGACAGAAATGGGAAAATCTGAAAAGAAAAACCCAAACTCTAGTTCTTGTTCCTATTTTTCTATCCGAAAATCCTTGAAATTTTCTCCCAATTTTTCGTTTTTCAGCTTCTGTTTCTGCTTGATGGTGAGTGGTTGGCGGAATTGGTGGTGGAGTTGAAGAGATGAAAGGGTATCGCTGGTTCCCTTGGTTGTTCGCTGGTGGGTCTGAGTATATAAAAATGGTCGCTATCTCTCTAGATTGAAGAGAAGCTGGACGGATGGGGAAGGGGTCGTTTGGGATGGTGTTGAAGACGATGATCTTCAGGGGGGTGGGGTGTTTCTTGCGCAGCTGCTTTCAGCTGCTCCTTCAGCCTTCCCCGTTTTTTTTTCCTTTAGATTTTTTATGTCCCTTTTTATATTGTAGGTTGTAGGGTTTTTTAGGTTAAGGGGTATGAGCCTAGGAATTATGGGCTTGGAAATTATGGGTTAGGTCCAAAATTAGGCCTAAAAATGGGTTGTTCGAGCCCAAGTTCTATTCTTTCCCTGCGAACGAGATTAAAAATACGGGCCCATTTATTAATTAATTTTACTATTCAAATAATTACTAAAATAAAACTAACTATTAAAACAAACTTATTTTTGGCATTTTCAAATATCATATTAAAATAAAAATACGATACTATTTTTATATGTTATCTTTTTTTTTTAAGATTGAAAATGACTACAAAACATTAATGAACCTATTTTGTAATTTTTGTTTTCTTGTAATAAAATAAAGTAAAAAGTCAAAATTACTTAAAATATCTGTATTATTTGTAAATTAAATATTTACGCGCTAAAATGTGAAAAATCTTGGGGAGGGTCAAAAATCACATGTCTACAATCACTTGTGGAAGAAGTGAAAGAGAAGCAATATAACGATCCATTGTTGGTACATCTGAAGGAGGGAATTCATAAACACAAGATCACAACTTTTTCTTTTGGCATTGATGATGGTACCCTACGATGCCAAGGGCGCCTATGTGTTCCAAATATTAATAGTCTTCGGGAAAGGATTTTGGCAGAAGCTCACACTTCTAGGTATGCCGTACACCCGGGTTCTACAAAATGTATCATGATCTCAAAGAAGTTTATTGGTGGAATAACATGAAAAGGGATGTGGCGGACTTTGTGGAAAAATGTCCGAACTGTCAGCAAGTGAAAGCCGAACATCAAAGGCCTGGAGGATTGTTACAAAGCATAGAAATTCCAATATGGAAAAGGGAAATAATCAATATGGATTTTGTGGTAGGATTATCGTGCACTATGCGCATGTTCGACTCAATTTGAGTAATTGTGGATCGATTCATGAAATCAGCACACTTCTTGTCATTCAAATCTACTAACACAGCGGACCGATATGATCAACTGTATATCAAAGAAATAGTTAGGTTGCATGGCATTCTAGTCTCAATCATTTCAGATCGAGGGGCTCAACTCATGGCAAACTTTTGGAAGAAATTTCAGCAAGGTTTGGATACTCAAGTAAATCTTAGTACAACCCTTCATCCACAAGCTGATGGGCAGGCAGAGCGGACCATTCAGACGCGTAAGGATATGTTGTGTGCTTGTGTTCTTGATTTCAAAGGTAGCTGGGATGATCACTTACCCCTCATAGAGTTTGCTTGCCACACCAGGTTCCATGCTAGTATTCAGATGGCACTATTTGAAACATTATATGGTAAGAGATGTAGATCTCCCATTGGGTGGATTTGAGGTTAGAGAAGCTGAATTGATAGGGCCAGACCTTGTGCATTAGGCTATGGAGAAGGTTAAGGTAATTAAGGAGTGGTTGAAAACTGCTCAGAGTCGCCAAAAGTCGTATTCGGACGTTCGCCGTAGAGACTTGGAGTTCAAAGAAGATGATTGGGTATTTTTAAAGGTTTCCCATATGAAGGGTATCATGCGGTTTGAAAAAAACGGAAAATTGAGTCCAAGGTATGTACGGTCATTCAGAGGATTGGTCAGGAGGCATACAAACTTGAGTTGCCACCCGAGATGTCATTGGTACACCCGTCTTCCATGTGTCTATGTTGAAGAAGGTAGTGGGAGATCCGTCCACTATTGTACTAGTTGAGACTATTGAGGTTAATGAAGAATTATCGTACGAAGATATTCCAGTTGCCATCCTTGATAGGCAAGTCCGAAAGTTGACAAATAAAGAGATTGCCTCCGTGAAAGTGTTATGGCGAAACCAGCAAAGTGAGGAAGCCACTTTGGAAGCCGAGGAAGAAATGAAGAAGAAGTACCCTCACTTGTTCGGATAGCTATGTAATTAAGTATTTGTGTCCTATGAAGATATTGAAAGCATACCTTCTATGAATTATGTATCATATGGTTAGTTGATGATGATAGTGTTTATTTTCTAGAAATGCATTGCTTATGGGGCCACGGTTGGCATCATTTTATATTACGTTGCATCTTTGGATTATGTATATGTTGATAGGATGCATTTCTAGGATTCTCTGACAGGTGGATAGGCCTAGTTACAGGGGAAACTCTACCGAAATTTCTGAAAAATTTGGGAGTTAAAGATGTGTGAGAAAGAAGATAAATTATACTAAATTTGTGGATTGACTCCAATTATCATTGGAGGATGAATGATCCTAAGCGGGGGAGAATGTAAAGCCCTAGAAAGTTTTGCTAAGTAATTTAAGATTTCGTGGTGCCAAGGTAGGCTAATTATTTTATTTTGTGTGCAAGTGAGGATTAATGATATAATGGATATCAATTGGATACGTTAATAAGTGTATAAGTCATATTATAAGTGATTTGGGGTCTAAGGAGAGGCCTAAGTCTAAGCCAAGTTGGAAAGTTTCATAATGGACTAAAGTTGTGAATGAGTACGCACAAGACCTCACTTTTGACAATCATATCTCCAGTTATATAAGGTTTTGTATGATGAATAACCTATCAAATTAAAACTCTTTTAGTCTAATTTCCAAATCATCAAACCTTTTGTTATTTGGAGGTGTATACAGAAAGTTATGACCATTTTATCGAACCTGGCAGATGCGCGTCCGGAGCGCGATCGCAGGAAAACTAATTGATAGTTTCTGCCTCTGAGCGCGGCCAGACCGCGGTAAGAGCACGGCCACCGCATCCCGGGCACGGTTTGACCGTAGTCGCGTGCCTAGAAGCCCTATAAATACCCCAAGACCGGGTATGGAGAGTCTCTAATTCATTTTTTTGAGCTAGGGCTTGCTCTATCAAGGGGAATCTGTCCCGTACTTCCCTCCTATGATCCAAGGTAATATTTTTTGAGTATTTTGAGTTGATTACTACTCCTAAACACTTATATTAACAAGGATTGATCTTGAAAATCCATAGATTCCCATTCAAATCCCTAAATTGATCAAGAACACTACAAGTGGGGATTCTCAAGATTCTTACTACAAAAGTTATGTCTATCATATCTAACTACTCTATGGTGATTATTTATGTATGATATATACGTTAAAACTCATGGGATGGTGATTGGAAGCCATAGGTGCCTAACCTAGGTTATGTTGGTAATATAGAGATTGTGAGATGGGTTATTGAGGTATGATTCTTGGGAGTAATAGTATTATGTATACATGCATGTACAAATTATGTTTGTAGGAAGATTGTTTAACATAAATAAGTAAAGATTAGGTTGAGAAATGAAGGAAATCTTGTAAAAGAGATTTGAAATCAAGATGCTCAATTAGTATTTGATAAAATGCTCAAATGAGCTGAAACCATGAATACCTCCTAATTTGTGTTCAATTTTGTTATGTCTCAAAGTAGATTGGGATTGCTAGAATTTCCAGAACGTCGTAGTAACTTAAGCAAAGCTTAAACATACCTGGCTAAACCCCCCTGTTCTTAGAAATTGAGCTCCCATGGTGTCCCTGCATATGTTGTAAGTCCGGAATTTGAATTATGTAGTATTTGTTATTTCAAAGGATTTGGTGTTGCAAGAATATATGTGAAAGGTGTGTCTCAATGTGTTCAATGTGCTATTGTTGGTAATTGGGGATATGTGAAGAATGTGAACTATATGCTAAATTACCTAGATTTCAAGTCAAGTTAAATTGTGATTATTATGCCGAATCATAAGAATTACTCTCTATGCTTATAACTTGAATTGCTCTTGTATGTGCCCAATATCTTAAATTGCTAGTTTGATGTTGAAAGTGAAAGTGATGTGGAATGAGAGTTATGAAATATGGCCTAGTGGCAAGTATGATGTGACAATTGTGGCCCAAGTGCCGATGAACTAATACATGTGAAACCAAAGATTGAAGTGTGATTGATAACAGAAAAGGGTAACGTCTTGTAAGATGGCTTAGCCAATCGGGCCATGATCGGACGCCATGTTATACACACATGGTGGTAATGCAATTATAATTGAAACTGGAAAGTGAGACTGAAATAAGGGTAACGTCTTGTAAGACGTCTTAGTCGATCGGGCCGTGATCGGACTCCGCTCAAGAAAGCGGTGGTATTGTGAATGATGATGAACAGTATTAAAAACCCCAAACTAATGCTATGGAAATTATGCGAAAGCTATGTGATTCCTTTTATTTGACGATATAGTGATTGTTTAAAGCTTTTGTTGAATCCTTATGATTTTTTTGTCCTTGTATGGTTGTTCTTTCTAATGAGATAGTGTTTAGTTATACATGTTAGTTCTATTCGATGGCACTAACGTCCCTTTTGCCGGGGGCGCTACGTCTTTAAAAGGATGTAAGTGTTTCTATGGTAGGCAGAGTTGGTCGCATCTAGTGCCGCATCATCCTTTCAGCTGACTTGGTGAGCCCCACTTCGTTTCGGGGCCCTGTTTCATCTATTTATCATGTACTTTGTATTTGAGGTATAGTCGAAGCCTTGTTGCCGGCATTTTTCATATTATTCTTCAGTTGTATTTAGAGGCTCCGTAGACAGGTTGTGGGTAGTGTCAGGTATTGGAATTAAAGTAGAAATATTCATATTTGGCAATGATGTATAAAAATTGTAATATCTTCAAAATTATGAACGAAGTTGTTAATGGAAATGAAATGGACTTGTTAATGACATGTTTATATAATTTGATTAATGGTGTACATTTCCTCTTTATTCAAAGACGAATTTGGGTAGTATGAAATCTATCTGGCTTGCTCAGTCGGGTTTACTCGATTGAGCGCCGGTCACGCTTCTCAGATTTTGGGGCGTGACAGTTTCTTATGAATGAACTCTCAATTTAGGAAGTGTGTCTCGTAAAACAAAAATATAACCTGAAAAACCCAGACTAGGAAGTGCGTCTCCTAGGGGTGAAACTTCAATGACTCAAACTAGGAAGTGCGTCTCCTACGAATGAACTCTCAATT